CACTACAAAATTTTTACTAGTAATTGGCTATGGATTAAAATTTGTGAAAATGTAGTCTTAAGTAAAGCAATATTACTATGTGAAAATGTAGTTTTAAGTAAAATCAATTTTACTATGACAGCAATAAACAAAAAACTTTGAAAATGATAAAAGCCGAATTTTGTGCGATCTAGACCAGCTACTGAAAAGCCAACACTAGGAACTTATAATTAAAGTTTGGTGTTTAGCAAATAACCTCCTTAAGAAGTAAAAAATTTTGTATGTTCGAATTCGACTAAACCAAAATATATTTCAGACCTTAACTTTTCAATAGCCATGATAATTTTTTTAATAAAAACGTTATAAATGACTCAAATTACTGTTAAGTATCGTCAGAATGCTGCTTAATATCAAATTTCGATGCGAGGAAATTTTGGTGTATTTTCGTTCTTGCGATCTCGCCTTGCGGACACCCCGCTATAATGGACACCCTGACAATACGGACTCTCGCTGAAAAAAAAGGAACTTTTTATTTGAGTGTCAATGTATTTAGCACGAAAGTACTAATTGGGGACACTATTTTTACGTCTCCTAATGGAGACGGGACCGCCATTTTACGTGGTCATCCGAGCCACGCAAAGGTCTCGCCCCTTGCAGTGCAAAGGAAGTACCTTCATTTCTCAGTCATTTTAAGAGCCTGAGTAATGGTCCGGCCCCGGGAATCGAACCCGCGACCTCCCGTTCTGCAGTCAAACGCTCTACCGACTGAGCTAATCCTGCCACGGTTAAATGATGATAAGGGCACTAATTTGAGGTCCCTACAGTGTCCACAATAAAGGGAGCTGACTGTAGCTGCGAAGGATCTATGTTTTAGAAGCCCAAGCGGGGGTGTTTAATAGATAGGAGGCGTTTGTACTGTCGCGATTTGTACTGTCGCGATTTTCACTTTGTTACACTTGTCTCAATTTGTCATTTGGTAATCATGGGCACACTTCTGTCGTATTTGGAAACATTCGGTCGTTGGGTGCCCCTGATTTAATCGTGAAGTGATCAGAAACGCATTTAATTTGAATATCCCACAGATATCCCTCATTAGTTACAAAAAATAAAACCGTTTTTGTTTTCCTAAAGATTTCATCACAAACACGGCATGAAGTATTTCTTGAGTCATGTTTTAGACGAGTGCGTTGTTGAACAAGTGCACTCATTTTACGATAGAAAAAGGTGATGGAACATCAGAAATAAAAGCAATCTAAAAGTTCCAGTGGTAAGTTGAGGGTTAAAATAATCGGCAAATAGTCAAATCAACTCTTGGCTAAAATGAAAACTTCACCAAAGGAAGCTGTGATATCTAATCAGGCTCAAATACTGTACCATTCTTGTCACTCAAACGGTTTTACGTTTCCAGTTCACAGAATCTTAATTGATGACCTAACTTAAGAGCGACCCGGTAGTCAAAAAATATCGATTATTGAGCAGGTGGTAATTAAAGAATGAAAAATCGATTTCTTTCAGTTTTTTTGTCCATAGATAGCCTTTACGTAAATAAGCGGTTTGATGGAGATTGTTTTCGCCGAAAGGCATGTTTTATTTTCGAGGAAAGTATGAATCAATAGCAGTTTTCGTGTCGGAGAATCAAAAAAGCCTAATTTTCAACCTGAAATTCGCGAACATCAACTCTCCTCGCTTTTAATTTGGAACAAAGGAGAAATTTTGGCACTTCCCATCATAAAGCAACTCTTTTTTCTTAGTCACTAGAAGGTACTTTCAGGGAAAAAGTTATAGACTCTTCGAAATGACATGTGACCCATAATAAAAAAACAGCTTCTTTTTACAGTTTGTTTGATTAATTACTCAGGTTGACCAAAATTAAATGCCAATATTTGAAAATTATCCTGTGACAACTCGTAGTTAGGCTTGGTCTCCAGACGAAGGTGTCTCGATACACCCCACATTTCTTCAGGTTGTAGGGGGCTGGAGGGGGGGGGGGGG